GAGAGAGAGAGAGATTGGAGGGGAAGTCCTATTTATTCTCCTCTGTACACGCACGTGCGCGCACACACACACACTAATGACACTTGCATGGAGAGATCAAATGACTGATAAAATTTAAATATAAGTTTCGAATAAAAAAAATAATTTTATATTTTATTTTTTAAGTCATTCAATATTATTTTTGTAACTCTTAACTCTTTAATTTTCTATCTTATCTTTTATAATTGTTTAAATTTTTTTTTGGATAAGCTAAATACTATTGTAAAAGTTTTCTATTTTTGCTAGGAGTAGTTTGCATGTAGAAACCGTTGCCCTATTTCTTCTTCATAATGGATTATTTTCTGAAAATACAAGAGATTACATGATATCTTATTTTATTTTTTGTTTTTTATTTTTCACAGCCTTATCATTAGATTGGGATAATAGATCAAAGAAAAATTAAGTGCAAAGATTTGGGGATGAGAGTTCAGAGAGGGAGAAATCTTAGGAAATTTGTAGGGAGAAAAAAAATGTAATAAATACAAAAGTAAGACTATATTTATTCTCCCTCAGATTTACATGCCTGCGTGTGTATTCATACTTATATCAAAACTTAATGCATATTAATTTTGGAACTTAAATAATGATAATGATTCTTTCACAGATAAAATGGTAACCATTCTTCACTATAAACAAAAGAAAAAAAATTGTGACAGTTCTGTGTATCAGACATTGGTAGGGTGCAAGAGGATGGGGGAGGAAGTACTGAGGGTGTTGGATTCTGAAAAACCCACTGCTGTTGTAGCCTGAAAGTAACCGAGTTTTCAGACTTGGGGATCATTTTTCTATGGCAAATGGGTCTCTCTCTCTCTCTCCAAAAGTTGAGCCATAATTTGGCCAGTTACAACTATGGTGCTGTAAAGTTGAAGTTCTCCATGGAGTGTCCTGAAGAAGCAGGGGACTCGAAGTGAAGCAGAAGAAAGCATGCGGTTAGGGTTTATTTGATGCTGTCTCTCTCTCTCTCTCTCTCTCTCTATATATATATATATATATATATCTCAATCGCTTTCTCCTCCTGTTCTTGAAGATTGTGAGAGTAGTGTAATTTAATGAAGTGTATGTTCTTTCAGACCTGGATAATTTTAAGTTTTGTTGGGGTGCAATAAATTTGAGTAGTTTGAATGGTGGTCTAGTAGTTGTTTTTCTTTTGTTATTTCAATGGATTTAGAGCATTTACTTTTTATATGATATTTTTAGAATTAGATGTAAAATCAAACATCTTGGAATATGTATAAAGTTTGAAGAATTTTTTTTTGGACTTTGAGCTTGGTCAATGAGATATACTTCTAGCTGCTCAATTCACATTTAAGGATGATTATGGCCTTTTTGTACCAAAAAGTGTACCATGTTAGTGCATATCTTCCATAAGAGTTCTTATTTATACTACAATTAGGCTCTAGCTTGAAACATGGCTTCTAGCTTGTAAGGGTTGGCAATACGCCATGCTAGGCCCAGCCCTAATCTCCATAGGGCTAGCACAGGCCCAGTCTGGCCTTGACAAGGCCCGGGCCCAGGCCCCCTGTCAAGGCAGGCTAAGTTGGATTCAGCTGATGGAAAATATGAAAAAATAAAAAACTTGAAGGAACAAAAGGGCTAGCCTTGGCTTGGTCTTCGGGTTGTGGTGGCCCCATTGTAGCCCAGGCCTTGTGTACTTGTGTGACTTAGGCCCTAGCATTTTAGGGCTGGGTCAGCCATTCAGGCCACCCACTAGGCCCATTGCCACTCCCTATTTGTACCGTCACACTCTCCCTCTCTTATGGTCATATGCATGTCATCTATGCATAAGCTGTGATGATTAAAACATTTCCCTCTCTTATGGTCATATGCATGTCATCTATGCATAAGCAGTGATGATTAAAACATTTGATGGGCTCGGATCTATCCAAGATTCTTATTTGGGATTGTCTACAAAGAGACTATTTATCTTTTGTACTTGAAAGTCATAATCATTCTTATCTTTTAAATTTTAAAATGGGCGGTTGTAAATGTGTCACATGAAGTTTTAAAAAAAAAACATTTCGAACTTTGTGACTCACCTTTAAGCTATCCAATTTGACATATGATGAGTAAGAATAATTGTGACTTCCAATACAAAAGATAAATGTCTTATTATGGACAATCCCTTCTGATTTTTATCTTTTTGTTCTTTTGTTATAAAGATTATTTTATTTTCATTTTATAAGTAACATATCGAGAATGAGATCCCTAGCCCATTATTTTGTCTAAGCTCAAGACCCATTTATAATTGAGGTTGTATGCATTGGCCCTGTTGGATGGTCCTATTTTTCTAGTTAGCAGTAAAATTGCCTTTGAGATCCCTAGCCCATTATTTTGTCTAAGCTCAAGACTCATTTATAATTGAGGTTGTATGCATTGGCCCCATCGGATGGTCCTATTTTTCTAGTTAGCAGTAACATTGCCTTTGAGTTGTGACGGGACGCATGGCTCACAGTTTATCAGCGGGAGTAGGTCCAGAAATGGAACCCCGCATAGAGTTCGAGCTGCAAAAGAAAAATAAAGAGAAAAATAATGTTTAGTCGTATCCACATGTATAACCTGGCTTCTGGGAAAAACCCAATCTATTTTACAAATACAAAATAAAATCCTAGCGTTTAACTTCATCAAGAAAGCTCTTATATTTTTGAGTGTTTTAGGATCAAGATACCTCTCTAATGAATTATATATGAAAATAAAGAAAAATCGTTTAAGAAAGTTAAGCCTTTTTTTAAAATCAGTACTCTCTCTCGTGAAAATTGTATTGGGATGGTTTCTTGATGTATGGAGGTTTGGTTGGAACATCGTTTCGAAACCCAGATTGGTATGGTGGTTTATTCATCCTTCATCCATAGATTTGTGTCTTATCGTTGGTTCAGCGATTTAGATTGGGTCTGGGTTGGTTTGAAACAATGATCCAATAAATATTTAAAAGTAATGAAATGAAAAACATTTAAAATTAAGATTTATGCGATAGGGATTTTTTTAAGGAGATGCAAAAAATTATTGAATGAAATTCAAAAAAAGAAATATGCAGAGGGGGTTTTTGGGGGAGTCAAGCTGGGATCTATACCGTTTCAGAAAATCTAGATCGATTCCAATCTAGATTAGCGCTCGAGATAAAAAATCACCCGCTTTTAAAACACGGGAAAAGTTTATACAGAGCCGAGGTTTAAACAATCAAATTTGAGCTTATTTCAAAAATTTCACTAGGAGAAGTTGTTTTGATGCCCAAATATCTTCAAATTGATTATCTCGACATCAAGATATATGAATATGAAAAAAAAATAGATGGCAAGCTTTGAAAATAGTTTATTTTGTAACGTATTTTTTTACTGTCAATTTTCAAAATTTTCAAGTTTTCATAAATATCGATCTACAATATTTTTGAAGTTTGAAACTTTATAAGTAAATATAAAAATATATTTTATAGCTATGACGAAAAATTTCAATATTGAAACCGCATTTCTCGATGCCATTTGAATGCAGGCTCTAATTTTACAAACCACACCTTAAAACACGGCTAGAAAATCCATTTTACCATCGTTGATTGCGATTTAACGTTTTGCGCCATTTTCCAACTTATAAAATGTATTTCCGCCCGTACCAACCATGTCCGTCTCGCGCCCGGATGCCAAAACCACGGTGGATTCCCGGCCACTTCTCCTGCAAGCTGCCGGAAAATAGTGGATCTCTCTCAACCTGTTTCCATATTTCGCAGGCCCTTTTACGACGAATTCTCTCTCTCTAAATTTTTCAGGCCTTTGTCATACTACAAATGGAGGGATTTCTAAGCAGTTTCAGAGCTATTATCTTGAGAAACAGTCAAATTCCGGCATCCCTGCTCATCCTTCTCATTCTTTACTCCTTTTTTTCTCAGTTTCTTCCCATTGAGCCATATCTGGTTCCTTACCTCACCACTGTCAAGCATTTCACCAATTATGAGGTAAATCTTTTTCCTTTATTCACTTCTAAGCTGTAGCATTATGATGAAGCCCTAATATGTGTGTGTACGAACTATTATTATTCCAGTTTATGAACGCTAATTGGTGAGTTTAATATATTGATTTCAGGTTTAAGAACTAAGACTAAATTTTTAGTAAGTCACTTTTTTTTTTTTGAATTCCTAACATTTGGGTGTACTGCTAGCTAAAAGCCTTGATTTGTTGGTATGCATCTATACTTCTAGTTTATATGACCTAATTTGTTGGTTTAATTTATTGATATGGTTATGAATTGTGCCTAATTTTATACTGCTAACGCTTACATTTATTTCAAGCTTCTAGCCTATATAGCTTCCAAAAAAATAAAATAAAAGTTCTCTACTCAATTTTAATAGCTCTAAAAGACTATTTCAGGGTGTAAATTTTCTATCTGATTATGAATCTACGATATTATTTCTATGTTCTCAATGACAGGATTCTGGTTTCTAGCGTGGTGTTCTGTTGAGAAAAATTCTTACTTCTTCCCCCTCATCACCCTCCTTGGCTTGCTAATATTGAGATCCTAGGGCCCTCTGATCTACTCAACAAATTCTCTCTCGCTCTTTCTCTTTTTGCAATTTTTTCTTTCTTTCTTTCTTTTGTTAGGTCATGTGGAATGTACATTTAAAATTTTAAAATTTACTACCAATTTAAAATTTTGGATTCGATATGTGACTTTAGGATCCAGGATAGATATTGAAGGACCTATCATGTATGATATTTGTTTTGGGAAGTCAACCTGGGTATTTATCCTACATTTTTGACCCTGTAGGCGACAGAAAGCTTTATCAAAATATCAATGCTGAAACATTTTGTAGATAAACGGCACGAGTGATTAAGCCAAGGAGAGTTGGTGACTAGAGATCATTTGGTGTTTGTCTGGGGCTGAGAAATAATTGATTTCTGGGATGTATCTTTAGAAGTGTTCCACACTACAAGAAACACATCAGTGTGGAACTGCTCCTAAACTAATGTAGAAATACGTAGTATAACTCAAAAAAAAAAAAAAAGAATCCTTCATAGGGATGGTATAGCTTCTACATGATGTGGACAAGCACCCTTCAATAGTTCATAACATGTGTGATTAGTCAATGTTCCATGAATGTGGTATCATGCACTTGTTCATATGGGTCTGTAAATGGGCTTCTGTATCCATCCTAAGAAAAACCTGAATCGATTTACTGTAGAACCCCTACCTCCTATTCACAGAAACCACTTCTAGGATGTGTCAGTCAAATTGTTTCAAAATGCATAAAAACTTGAATTGTCATTTTAGAAACCATGCCAATGAATGTTTCGAGCGCAACAGTCTTCCAGGTTAGAATCCATTCCCTACCTACGTCAAAAACAAAAGACAGCCTAGTTCTGGTATATATGGGTTAAAGAATGTGATCTGACTGTCATGCATCATAGACTGTCCTGTCTTGGTCATTTATTGCCACTATTCTTTCTTTTTCAGTTTTTTAATATTCATTATTGAATTGTTCAAATTTGAGCTTGTATTGACATTTCCTTTATACCATCAGTATAGGTGCTCTTGTATTGTTCTGAACATGCTAGAAATGACTAGGATTGTATATTTAGGGTGGAGTGATGATAATGGAAATTTCTTACCGTCATGCTTTGCCCCACAGGTCGCCATTGACATCTATCCTTTTAGTGTCTATGCTCAACTATTTTTCACATTGTTCATGGTGCCTGCCTGTTTTTTCCTCTCTCACAAGGTGGTAATTAGTTTAGGTAATGTACACAATTCATTTGATTTTAACTTCTGCTTTTGTGGTGAAAGCCTTATCTCATTGATACTAAAGTACTGCTGGAGTTTTTTGCTACACTTATGTTGTCCATGCCCAACTTTTTTCACATTGTTTATTGTGCCTGCTTGTTTTTTTCTCCCTGTAAAAGTGGTAATTATTTTAGGTAATGTGCACAGCTC